GTTGCTTTATGATAACAAATTCACCAAAATTAATATACAAATATTCTTAACCATTATCTGGATAACTTATATTTTAATATAATTGACTTCTTTGTTAACCTATATTTTTAATTTTATTTCAAAACCTATTTTGAGAAAAGGCCCCTAGGCTTTGTCAGCAATCCATGGTACACACAAAAAATGCTTTGACTTTGGGCCTGCTCGTGTCTGTAAAATAAAGTACTCTTATCACTACTGCTTCGTTATAAAAATTATACTATAGGCAAAGAGGTAAATGTAGCAATGAGCTAGTAAGATTACATTATATGTCATGAAATTTTAGAACTCTAGATTCCACCCTAGGTATTCTAAGTCAGAATCTGAAACCTGCAGGTGATGAGCTGTGCACATGGAAGTCTGATGATAACCGAATTTAGTGCACTCACCTAATTACGGTTGAATGACTTGCCCAAGGTGACACTTAGCAGAGGAGTGTGGAAGGACTGTTGCTCTCATGATTTTGGCACTTTAAGATAGCTCTTCTTGCTCTCCAAGATGTTAATAGACTGCAGCTACTTAAGGATTGTTTTATCTTCTCTCCATCCACTAATCTTGGTCCCAGATTTCCAGCTCGTCCACTAGAGTCTGAGGCCACCAGAGCTGCCAGCTTGTGGAGTGCAGACATGCTGGCACCAGGAGAGCGGAGTGGAAGGATGGGAGGAACCATGGGCAGAGTTCCTCCCATTCCTGCTTTCTCGGTCTGCCATGATGGTGTTAGTAAAGATCATTACCAAGAATCTGGGGACCAGTTGTTTAATTGCCATTTCTTCCATGTCAGTGCTGTTTCAAGTATGTACTAAGTAACCAAGGTATAACACATTTAAGTATATCCATTGACTGACAGACATTTTACCTTGTTTATTTTCACAGGCAGAATTTAGTCTTACATTTTACTATTCCTGAAGAACCATGCTATTCTAATATCAAGGTTCTAAAGCCACCACAACGGAAAGATTAGGGGAGCAATCACTTATCAATATGTTGGTCACCAAACCAGCTCCTTTCTTCCCACCTTCCCTTCCTAGTCCAGTGATTGTCAAGTGCAATTGATTTTTCCTCTGCAGTGTTAGCACTCATCCCCTCCTCCTCAGCACTGCTGCCACTGCTTGGTGAAGCCTGATCACCTATTGCCTGGCTTGTGAATTCGCCTCTTACCTGGGCTCTCTGCCATAGTTCTCTTCCTGTTCTTGTTCTCTTATGCCTGGCTTCATGTATTTTCCAGATGCACACTCTGTTTCATCTTTTTTGTGTTATTTATTTATTTATTTTAAATCTAGACCAGACTCTGTGCCCTGTTCTCTTCCTTTTAAAAATAGCCAATGTCTCCAGACTCCTGAGCCATCTAAACCCGGTCCAAGTCTCCTGTTTTCCTTCTCCTTTTCCTCCTCTCATGTTGTACATGCTGGGCTCTCTTTGTCAGGGCTGTCTCTCCATCCTTTCATCCCCTGTTTTGGAGTGCTTCATGTCAGCTTCCCTGCTGCCTCTTGATGCCCTCCCTGACCACTTGCCCTTCGGTGTCCCTGCACCTCCAGTCTAAGCAGTACCCTCTTTAGAGTCCCTTCCTCTGGACAGGGAGTGTTTGCTTGGTATTAAAGGTCTTTTTTTTTTTTTTTTAAGTTTTTAAAATTCTTCTTTTTTTTTTTTTTGAGTTGGTGTCTCACTGTGTTGCCTGGGCTAGAGTGCCATGGCATGCTCACAGCCACCCCAGCCTCGACCTGCTGGGCTCAGCAATTCTTCCATCTCAGCCTTCCAAGTAGCCGGAACTACAGGTGTGTGCCACCACACCCGGCTAATTTTTTATTGTTTATAGAGACGAGATCTCACCAAGTTGCCCAGGCTGGTTTCAAACCCTTGGACTTAGGCAATCCACTCGCCGCAGCCTCCCAGAGTGCTGGGATTATAGGCTGAGCCACCGAGCCTGGCCGGTATTAAAGTTCTATATATGCTAGTTTTATCTTTTCCACTGCCAAACTTATGAATCATCTGACTCATCTTTGATTTTTTTTCAGGGGAACACAATAATGGGAAAACAGACACAGTTTATCTTAAGGAACTTATAGTCCTTTAGGAACTTATAGCCTATTTAGGAAGACAGAGTTAATTAAACAATGTTAAAGGTAGAGCATTGAAACTAGGAGTGCTGTGGGGTAGAGGTACATGATCTCGTGGGAACATGGGATAGTAGTTTTGACCCAGAAGATATTTCTGCAAGGTGAGAATGGACCTGAGACCTGAAGAGTGAATTAGCCCAGGAATAGTGGGGAAGTGCCCCCCAGGCAGAGTGGGCACGAGGATCAGGGCCCTGAAGGGCAAGGGAGCGTGGCCAGCACATGACTGAGGCCAGGTAGTGAGGTGGCAGGGCGTGTGCTATACGGTGGGGCTGGAGGCGTGTGTGGTGGGGGGACGAGCATGCATATTAGAGTGTTGCCATTTATCCTCAGATCAGTGGAAAACCATTTCAGTGGCTTTTTTTTCTTTTAATTTTTTTCTTTTAAAGATGTGGGGTACATTTCAGGGTTAGGCATACAAATGTTCATTATGCAGGTACCCTTGCTGATGAGGTAAGTGTGGTGACTAGACTCATGTTTTAGATCTCTGGCTGTGATGAAGGGATGACTTGGAGGGTGGAGTAGATTGGCGGGGTGTGTGGGCAGTGTCATTGTATTAGAACAACCACAATAACACATTACATCCCAGCTCTCAGTGGCTCGACACACTGAAGATTTGCCTCTGGCATGTGAGCTCCAGCATGGTGAGGTGTCCTCTTCCATCCTGAAGCATGGCCCCAAGGTTACTTGGCAGAAGACAGAACTTAAAATCACTTTTGTTTTTTAGGTTAATTTAATTTTTTTATACTTTAAGGACCATTTTATTGAGGCGTGATTCACATTAAAAAACTGCACATATTTAAGATATTGTAAGGTCACTCTTGGGGCCAGGCCTGGTGGCTCATTCTATAATCCAAGCACTTTGGGAAGCCTAGGTGAGTGGATTGCCTGAGTCCGCAGGTTCGAGACTCACCTGGGCAACTTGGCAAGACCTCGTCTCTACAATAAATCAAAAATTAGCCAGGTGCGGTAGCGTGCACCTGTAGTTCCAGCTACTTGGAAGGCTGAGGCAGAAGGATTGCTGGAGCCCAGCAGGTTGAGGCTGTGGTGGCCACTGCACTCTAGTCTGGGCGATGGAATGAGACTCCAACTCAAAAAAAGAAAAAGAAGAAAGGTCACTTTTAAAAAGCCAGGGCTGGGAATGGCTGACATCACGGGCTCCTTCGCTGTGCAGAACTGTCATAGCCCAGCTGAACTGCAGGAAAGGCTCAGTGCAGGGATGCAGGCTTCTGTGTGTTCCAGAAGAAAAAGCAGTATGGTATACACGTATCCTAGTCTCCCTCCTTTCCACTTGGGAGGGTACTGTGGCAGTCCAGGTAGGAGGTGGTGGGGAACTTGGACTGGGAGGATGAATGAGGATCCTGGAGAAAGATGAAAATCGAGAAAACTGAGAGAGGCAATGGGAAAGAAGTTGTTAGGAGTGTCTCTTGGCTTTGGGGCTAATGTGACTAGAAGAATGGTGAGAGAGGTACAGAGAAAGGAAGACTGCTGAGATAAGGATCCTCATGTTCTCGGTTTTGGACATGCTGAGCCTCATATACCTTGGAGATACTGCCCAGAAAGGGTCAGTGGGATGCTAGGTAGAAAGGCTGGGGGGAAGGCAAAGTCATTGGGCCCACGTGGTTGGGAGCTTGCGCTCAGACAAAGCTCTTCGGGAGACGGCTGCATCCTTCCTTTCCACCTACACTGTTGGTAGCGTCTACCTTTGCCACGTTGCCCTGCCACCAGGGCAGCCAAGGTCCCAAGGACCCTTTATCTTGTCCCTAAGCGGCTCCCTTTGGAGTGCCCTGAAATAGCTATTCCACATCTACCTGGTATACCCTCAAACTCCTGCTTCTCCTGACTTGCCCTGCACAGAGAACACGGAGCCTTTTAGGCACTGTTGTGTGCAGTATATCCTTTCCCTGCCATACTGTCATCTTCCTCTAACCCCTTTTTAAAGGAAAAAAAGTCTGTCTGTTTCTTAGATTC